TTGAGTAACATGAACATTTTCAGCACTGTCAAATTACAAGATGAACGTTATAGGCTTATTTCTGTTAAAGTATGGTACCTGTTATCCTACATCACTATTACTTTTATAATAGTTAAGTTCTCGGTTATTAGACCATGGAGCAGTCCATTGCAAAAGGGAAGAACAACAGTGAATGGAGTAAACATATATATATGTATATTTGGACTCTTCCTTCTCAGATATTTTCAGGTCGTGGAACACATTCTCAATGCAAAAAAAAAACTGGTTAAACAATTCGATCAATAATAAATATTATCTTATGTAGATTTGATGGCTTGCACTGAAATGTCACCATATCTACAAATATTTATTGTCCTCTTTTCTTTTTTTTTTTTCTTTCTTTGTTTTGTCTCACTACCTGGACATAAGTTCAATGAATTAAGTCTTAAACATACATTATGCAAGAACTAAATCTGCCTATTGCAGGTCTTTCTTTAGGCCTGAAATGTTTTCTAAATTATGAATTAAACATTAATTAACTGATCCAGGCCATAATCAACTCTCGATGGAATTGGATTTCTCCGATATTAAATAGATTAGAACGATTCAGCCATATTTTGATTTTATTTAAAAATGGAAGCATGAGACTTAGCTTCGAACAACCAGTACGGTGGTTGGAATTATTGCACTTGTCTTGTCACACTTTCAAAGGCTAATATCTTCGCTCGCAATAAAGTAATTTGAATGAAATTTTCAAATTATTCATTTTAAATTATCTGTTTTCGAACTATTACCTAAATCTTACATAATGTATCTTTAACTTACATCATGGACCTTAGATGTATTAACTGCATTCTTTTTTAAAAAGATAAAATATTCAACCTACATAAGATTGCCTTGTTTCCACTTGTTTGTATTTTATTTATAGTCACTAGAGTTTTGGGTTTTTTTTTCGGAAATAAGAATTATTGATGTAAGGCCATATAAAACAAGATAATATTGATTGATGTTGCAAAGTTCATTCAACTACAATAAAGGAAGATACCCAGGAGCGAAGCACATAATTTAAAGGGATTTTAGGGGTGGGATTGAGAGAATATGGAAAATTATCTACCGGTAATTACATTCACTGAAGAAAGATAGTTTTAATTGTGACTACTTATATAATCATGGAAGTGAATTTTATGCTATGAAAGCCTGTGATCATTTTGCTTAACAGTATTTAAATTCAACAACAACAAAAAGCTGTGAATGACAGCATGATGGTATCGTGATACTGATAGAAAGTACCAGTAATGGAAACTGTAGATGACCATAACTTACATTAAAATTGACTTCTTTGGCTAATTTATTGATCAATATGGTTTTTGATAAGACTACATCTTATTGTGTTTTGTATAAATTATTAATTTACTTACCAATGTATGGAACTGTGGGTAAACCACTAGAAACGTCAACGTTGATTGATTAATCAATGTCTGACGTCATAGGTTCAAAAGCCCCTCGTACGACCCCCTGACACTACCTTCCAGTAAAACTGGGATCTTCATGTAGTGTAGGCCATCGAAAGTATAAAAAAATAACAAAACGAAATATAATTCTGTATTTTAATTAGATTGAGCAGACCAGTGACAGGACTCAATTTTGTGTCAATTGCAATTCCATCAATTCTGGACTGACAAATGAGCACCTGTATCCACTAGAGGTACACTTTAATTTTTATGAACGTTATATGACGTGTTTTGTTGAATTTCAGCATTAAAATTCTTTTGCATTGGTAAACTTACTTAAATTAATTGAATATTATAGAATCTGTTTCAACAGGTGTGTTGGGTTGCTTTCTTTAATGATGGATCAATTCGTGGAGAAATCTTCACATTTGAATTGACACATAATTCAATTACAGGCTATGAAGGAAGATCCCATTTTAAAATAAATAGTGAAGAGAGGAGGTCTGACTAAACATGGCTGACCTAATAACTTCACATTTTTCCTTTTACCAAATTAGACTGACCTGCACGCTTTTGACACAGCTTGTTGACTTTATTTGAGTACATGAACTTGGTCTATTAGAGACATATTACTAGTTGACTCACATTTAAACATCGCCTATGATCATGCCATAACCTCATTTTTATTTGATTACACTTTACACACTCATCACAAGTGAAGCGTTCTTGTACTATTCTCGATCAGTTTCTTCTTTCTAAAAACGGTGACCCTAAGCCAATGATGTGATTTCAAAATTTTAGTTGTCAGACATTTTCTTCCTGAAAATAAAGGGACATAATAACTCTTATTGTTATTTAAGCAGGCGTTTTCAAACCACAATTAAGGATTACGTGTCAACAAAATATTCAAATTCATACTTAATATAAAAAAATAGGTGAACCTCCTTATTTTTCAATTTTAATTCCCGTACGGTATTCAGATTAATGTCAATAATATTCCTACAAAATTACATGACATCGTCATCATAATACCATAGAATGAAAGCGTGCCGACTACTGCCCATCCGTACCGGTTTCAAATTCCCCCAAAATTACCATATTTTTCGGGTCATAAGTCGATACATTTTTCAGCAAAGTCCGGCATTCGTCTTATACTCTGTTTCGATTTATATACGAAAGGAAAAAAAAAATGACATCCCGAAATTTATTTGGCCGTAAACCGTAGAAAACGTCACTCTAATACAACAAGCGAGTGACACCAACTGCTAAACAGTCCCATTCGACTCTAAGCACATGCTATCGTCTAAAACTTACTACTTACGTTATTCCTATTGAAATATTCGTCAACATTTCTTAGCGTGTTTACTTATTTATTTAAAAACATAAACCTCATTCAAAATATGATCATAAATCCGACAATATGCCATCAGACATATTAGATTCGGCACGTTTACACCTCTTAATTCCACGTGTCTCGCGAGATTTCTACTTTCATTTTGCGCGTGTGTTAAATAGCTTTATTTAACTTCGGCTTCCACTGAAGAAATATCATAGACAAGTTATCGGACACAATGTATATTGATTTGGGGTGTTATATACTATTAGGATATGTGACATATATGACTAATGTCTACGGCCAACATCAAGGAGATTAAAACGTGAGACAATGGAGAAATCACGGGTTAATCTGACTTCTGTTCAGGATTGAATTGATGAATTTTCCGACAAAGAATTAAGTCAGCCAATCAAGCAGATTAAGTAGTTAATCAGGGTAGATGTATAGACAGTATAAAACGATAAATACGTTGATCACTTAATTACCTAATCAATCCAGCCTATTATCAACGATAATCGGGTTGAGTGGTAGTTATGTACACTATATTAATTTTGGAATTTTGAATATTATTTACCATGTCTTGATGTCCGATTGGGCATATTCCTGGTCGGACAATTTAGGACGTTTTTAAAATAGCGTCGGACATGTCCGGAATATACGGGCAAAATCACATCACTGCCCTAAGCCCTGGATTCCTTTCCCTTGGAAAAGTCAACACAAACCTTACTGGATTGAATGGCATTTTCTGTGTCAAATTACGGTCAATTACCTCATAACAAATAAATAACAAACCAGGGCCACAAATATTTGTATCAATAAAAGAGTATGCGTGAAAACCATATCTAAAAACATAACTGCATTTGTTTAAAGGAAACCAACTGTGATAGCAAACATCTAGATTGGCCAGTAGACAGTAGTAGGTAGCATCAACACCTATGCACTGATACAGCAGTGTTGATTGAGTGTAGATTTATGAAAAGGACCTGTGCAAGGCGTGGTTTCGATTCCCCGCTTGTACTTAACAAGGAGTAGGGTCGCCTGTCCAACCTTGTGGGTTTTCTCTGGGTCCTCCGGTTTCAGCTACTGCTAAAGACCTTTGTGTGCAAGCACATCATTGAAATAAAATTCAACCATCTAAGTCCCAAAATGACCTAGTTTGTGACGAGTGGAAGTCAAACCCCATTTCTCTCTTTCTATACTGGGGATCACGGTGGCTAAGTGGGTAGAATGCTGGCTCGCTAGCCTGGAGGTCACAGGTTCGATCCCTGCATTGCCTGAAAAAGTTCATCCTTGTCAGTTATGCAGGACAGAGGGCCTAACAAGGATAGCTGTCTATTTGTTCGGATGGGACGAAAAACCGAGGTCCGTGTAAACATTGGCGTGCATGTAACAGATCCCTTGACATTTGGAATTTGATATAAGAGTAGACCGTAGTGCCGCTGTCCGGGCAAAATTTCCCTCATAGCACACTGTATGGCGTATGCCCGTCTTCATTAGCCCAGTTCGGTGCAGAACAGTAGGACGTTAAATTTCATTTTTATACGCCCACATTTTCATATGGACGTATATTGTCGTCACCCATGTCCGTTCGTCCACAATTTGTTTGTGGATTGACAAAACTTAGAATATCGGTCTATCTCCCAAAGACCTCGGTTCCTTTCGATATTGGCATAAATCTGACCATAACTTCATGGATTATGACCCCTGATTGTATGAAAAATCACGTTTTTAGCTTGTAGACACTCTACAGGTCACAATTTTCATCTGATTTTGATGACGCTTGAAATGCATGTTTATAACCAAAAGATCTTGGTTCCTTTTGATATTTGCGCATGATAACTTCCTGAATTATGGCCCCTGATTGTACAAAAAGTCGCATTTTTAGCTTGTGGTCCCTCTAGAGGTCACAATTATTATTCGATTTAAAAAAAAACGTTTGAATATATCACTGTTACACCCTAATAATGGCTGAATTCAAATTTCATGCAAATCAGTACAAACCGGCCGGACAAAATGACCGCTCCTCGTACGCAAATAGTGTAAATATGAATATCAAGGTTGTGGACCCTCTAGAGTCGGATAAATGACCGCCCCCTCATACTCAAATAGTGTGAATATTTGGTATATCAAGGTTGTGGACCCTCTAGAAGTCACAGTTTTGATGTGATTTTAATGAAACTTGAAATATATCTTTATGTGTATTTTGAAAATATATTGTTGTGATTTATTTCCAGTTAGATGAATTGGGTCGTATATTTATCAACATTTGTAATGTGACACCTGGTGGTATAGTCTGTTTCTTTCCATCTTATGATTATGAGAGCCAAGTTTATAACCACTGGGAGAAAACAGGCTTCCTTAATAGATTGTCAAATAAGAAGAAGGTAGATATATATTGTATTTGTTATTGTTTAAAGTAATGTCCAATCTCATTTAGCAACCTTACTTCTTATACGCCCACATTGAAATGTGGTCGTATATTGTCGTTGCCCCCGTCCGTCCGGCGTCCAATGTGGATGCTCTAGAGGCTAAAGTTAACATCTGATTGACTTTAAATTTATACACAGTGTTTAGGGTCATGAGACAAAGAAGCCTATCAACAATTTCCGATAATTACTGCCAGAGTTATGGCCCTTGATCACTTCAAAAAATCTTGTGGATGCTCTAGAGGCTAAAGTTAATATCCGATTGACTTCGGATTGATATACAGAGTTTGTTTCACTTGAACAGCTAATTCCATGATATTAAAAGTTTCATATACTAAATGTTAGCATGGGGCAGAACTTTATAAAAACCAAACAAATTCTAATAGTTTTCTGATAATTACTTAATGAGTTGTTACCCTTAATCAGATTTTAGTGTATTATAAATGTTTGATTACCGAAAAAAAAGTAAAAATATGTGACAACTCTTGTTGACTGCCCGGACGATTTAGCTGATGTGGGCGTATGTTTCGTTGCCTGGCAACCTATCTTTAAACATCTACATATAATATTGTCAAATATTGTTGTCACTCCTGATGATTCACCAAGTTTTAAGATCAAGAGATAAAGAAGCTTATTGATTTTCAAAAAATTCTAGTAACCCATTTTGGTGTAATTGTCCTTGATTACTTGCAAAATCTTGTAGAGGTTGAAGTTATCATCTAAATGATTTAAAATTTATGCAGTCTTTTTCTACGCCCACATTTTTATTTGGACGTGTTATGCCGTCACCCCTGTCCGTATGGATGTCCATCTGTACATCCACAATTTGTTTGTGGATACTCTACAGGTCACAATTTTTATCCGATTTTGACAAAACTTGAAATATAGATCTATCTCCCAATGATCACGGTTCCTTTCGATATTGGCATGTATCGGACCATAACTTCATTAATTATGTTAAACTTTTAATATGTGTCATCTATTTATTTTGGGATTTTCGGCGAAATACCCCAGGAGTCTCAATCGATTGGCAATCTCTAGAGTCTGGTTATTCCAGTCTCCACCGATAGTATTTATTTGGCATACTCTCCAGAAAAGAATATGATGTCACCGTTTGACATGACTTCTGAAATATGTCTAGCACCGTTCTTCGAGTCCCTTGTTTCAAATGGCACTGAACACGCATTATGGTACATGATTTGTGTACCAATGGTAAAATGTTTATTTTGTCTTAAATATTGTATATCAGAAGCCCATCTTTTCCCGGTAAGATCACAACATCAATATTGATATAAATTGGCAAATAATTGGTGTTTTCAATGTCAAATATTTTGGATGATATTGAGTTAGAGACTTAGCTACTTTAAGGTTGTGGACTCTCTTGAGGTCACAATTTTCACCTGATTTTCATGAAACTTGAAATGCATGTTTATAACCCAAAGTTCTTGGTTCCTTTGATATTCGCGCATATCGGACCATAACTTCCTGAATTATGGTCCCTGATTGTACGAAAAATCACGCTTTTAGCTTGTGGTCCCTCTAGAGGTGACAATTATTATCCTATTTAAAAAACCCTGTAAATATATCACCATTGCACCGTAATATATCACCATTACACTGTAATATATCACCGTTACACCGTAATATATCACCATTACACTGTTATGTTGGTTGAGTTGTGGGTGTATCCTGCCTGGCAGCCGTTTGTTTAAGCTAGGTTAGTTTCCTATATTCAAGATTGTGTATATTGTTGAATCCCAAATGTTCTGAAAAAAATTCTGCAATTGGATAGAAGTTACCTGAAGTATTTTAATGCAAACAATTCAGTTCCCATTGGTCCAGTATGTTTTATCCCATAGTAAACTGCATTCAAATTAAGAAGACAAAATTTTTTCTTTCCAGGTGTTCAGAGAACCACGAAAGTCTGGAGGTGTTGAACAGATTTTATCAGACTATGCGGCTTGTATCAAAGTAATAAATTCATTAAAAATAATGTATGGTTATATCATAAAACTTGTTGTCGTTGCCCCTGTCCGTCTGGACATCCACAATTTGTTTGTGGACCCTCTACAGGTCACAATTCTTATCTGATTTTGACAAAGCTTGAAATATAGGTCTATCTCCCAAAGATCTCAGTTCCTTTCGATATTGGCATGTATCGGACCATAATGTCATGGATTATGGCCCCTGATTCTATGAAAAATCACGTTTTTAGCTTGTGAACACTCTACAGGTCACAATTTTGATTGGTTCCTTTCGATATTCGCTCATATCAGATCATAACTTCCTGAATTATGACCTGATTGTACAAAAAATTGTGTTTTTAGCTTGTGGTCCCTCTAGAGGTCACAAGTTTTATCAGATTTAAAGATACATTCCCGCGTACAAACTGGGTGATTTAATGGTATATATGGACTAAAAACATATTCAGTCTAATTAATTTGTCATAATTTTGCTTCAAATCCTTTTCAAACATTGTAATTGCGAAGGAATGCCCTGCTATAAAAATTCGATCAAACCAGGTCATGTTTACGTCACATGACTTACCTCTCTTGGAAGTCAGAGGAGAATTCATTGCATACATAAGACGATGTTGTCTTTAATCGCTTACTATTTATTACAAATATCGAATCCTAATTAAATTCTCGGATTATCCACTACCCGCGTCTTTTTCCATCATTTTTATCTCAGAAAGTGTTGTACGTCTAACTCTTCATAAAGTTTATCAACTTGTACATCAAGCGCTCAATGTTCACGTGTGACCTTTGACATCACGCGTGCAGAAATTCCTAATCGTCGGGCTGTCGATTAGGGGAACCTCTTACATTTTTGTCCCGTATACGCTCCATGAGTGTTTTTCGGGAAATCCATTATTTTTCTAGTAAGATTGGATATCTCTACTTTCCATATATACCAAAATGGCCACCCCTTGTACTCAAATAGTGTGAAAATATAGTATATCAATGTTGTGGACCCTCTAGAGGTCACAATTTTCAACCCAATTTGATGAAACTTGGAATGCATGTTTATATCCCAAAGATCTTGGTTCCTTTCGATATTCGCGCATATCGGATCGAACCTTTCTGAAATATGGCCCCTCGTTATACAAAAAATCACACTTTTAGCATGTGGTCCCTCTAGAGGTCACAATTTTTATCTGATTGAAAAAAACATTTTAGTATATCACTGTTACACCCTAATGATGGTTGATTTTGAATTTCGTGAAAATCAGACCAAAACTGGCGGAAAAAATGGCTGCTCCTTGTTCGCAAATAGTGTAAACATCTGGTATATCAAGGTTGTGGACCTCCTAGAGGTCACTATTTTGATCCGATTTTGATGAAACTTGAAATGCATGTTTATAACCCAAAGATCTTGGTTCTTTTCCATATTCGCGCATATCGAATCGTAACTTCCTGAATTATGGCCGTTGATTGTACGAAAAATCGCATTTTGAACTTGTGGTCCCTATAGAGGTCACAACCTTTATCCGATTTAAAAAAAAAAACGTGTAAATATATCACAGTTATACACTAATGATTGTTGAGTTCAAATTTCGTGAAAATCAGACTAAAACTGACGGACATAATGGCCACCCCCTTGTACACTAATAGTGTAAAAATATGGCATATCAAGGTTGTAGACCGGTTGGAGGCCACAGTTTTTATCCGATTTGAATGAAACTTTAAATATATGTTATCATAAAGATCTTGGTTCCTTTTGATAATCAAACATATCCAAACGTAACTTCATGGATTATGGCCCCTGATTGGTCGAAAAATCTTATTTTTAGCTTGTGGTTTCTCTAGAGGTCACAATTTTTTTTACGATTTTAAAAACTGTTTAGATATATCACCATTCCACCATAATGAAGGTTAAATTGGGATTTCGGGAAAATCAAAATGAAACTGCCCGAAAAAATGGCCGTTCTTTATATGCAAATTGTGTATAAGTATGTAATACAAAGGTTAGGGACCTTTTGATATTTGCGCATTTCAGACCATAACTTTCTGGATTATGGACCCTGATTGTTCCAAAATCGTTTTTGTTTTTAGCTTGTTCTCTATCCATCTCTTGCAAAATGTGGGCGTATCCTGCCTGGCAGCTGCTGGTTGTTAAAGATGCATTATGTAAGATTTAGATAAAGAGCTGGCCGTTCTTGCTGTAATAATTCAAAAATAGATAATGAGAAATGAATATATTAAAAAATTTCATTCAAATTAAGACCACCTGTGGGACTGTCGAGATTTGGGCTTAATACTTAGTGGAGTGGTCTTAATATTGAGTGAGCATGCTTGAGGCAATTTCAAAGAAAAAAAGACACAATGTTATGTAAATTATATAGACATATAGGCCTACTTTATTACTCCCAAGATGAAATAATTATAATGTAATGTAAAATTATATAATGTAAGTAATTTCAGTTTATCACCTTTTAACTGTAAATTAACGTGCCTAAAAAGTTGGATGTATGTCATGAGTATTCACTTGACCCTTTGTCGTTAATATTATTACAAAATTAAGTAACCCTACTGTATAAAAAATATGAACTACATATGACGGAGGCATGAAAAAGCATAAAAAAGTTTGTGTTATTCTATCAGCCGTGTTTGTGATTTAATACCAATGTGTCCGATAGCATTTACCCTTGCAAATTCGTTTTTCTCATTTAAGCATATACATTCTTCAAAATGAATTTTACAATTCAAGAATACTAATTTAAACTTCAAAACATTAGTGCTGTCTCAAAAGCTGTCCATTAATAAAGTCAAATAGCGATTTGCCAGATCGCTGACCGGCATGAAACATTGAATGATATTCACATGGCAGTACTCTCAGTATAGTTCGCATTATTCACATTTCTGCTTTATTAAAATTTATTTTAATCACAAAATTAATGATTCCTTTGAAAATCAAGATATTGATGTAAACTATAAGTCAAGAAAAATAGAAAATGAACAAAAGCAGGGATAATTCTAACAGTACCGGTTGGTTGGAAAATTGAGCGAGAAATCATATGACGACCTGGAATGAACACTCAGGAGTTTATAACAGTATTTATTCATCATTAAACAATAACCGAAACATCGCCCAGCTCTACTTAAGCATTATTAATTTCTTTGTTTAAATTAACATACAATGAGAAATTCCATTGTTTAATAAATGAGACCAACAAAGAACGATTAGCGGCTCGTGAAATGGCTGCGATGAAATCGGTCATTATATTGACTCCCAATCAATGGTCGTTGTCGCAAGTCACAAAAACAATGAAATTGGCTGATTGGTACTGGCTTTGGTGCAATATATAAGGAATATAGAAGAAAAAAATTGGTTCTTTTAATATGTGGTTGTATATATGTGAGTTGCCCGTAATATTGAGTTGGTTGTGAAGCGAGATTTCACTGTAATTAATTCTTAGAAAAATTATGACCGTTTGAAGATATAGCGTAGATTGTCCATTATCTTAGCAACAGTACTCGACAATCAAGTCTTCAGTTTCAATTATCCATTTTATCGTTAATTTTTTTAAATCTCGTAGGTGTTCTAATCCATTTGAATCTCAGCCATCCGATGGTCTAGATAGTTGATTATAGGCTCATCAATTTAATCTGCTCAAAAGATTACAGAACTATTCACTCCTTGTTGGCACATGTGCTTCAGCAAACAGTTTTATGTAGACTATAATTTAAAGAATACTTTTGGCCTTATACTTTCAATGGAGATTGCGTCAGATGAAATCCTATAATGAGAGAGATTATTTTTTTAAAATTTGGGTTAAACAATATCCAGATGTCGAGACAAACGTCATGAAGTCAGGGCTAACAATACTTGATATCTGGAATCAAGATTTTCAAACAGCTTAACACACTTTAAGCATGCCAAAATTATGTTTTAGAAGTAATTCTGAAGTAACTTCCCTATTTTCTGCCTTGTTCTTATTTTAATGAAATTAACTTTGTAACCAAAGGTAAAGGATATATTATAAAATTTAATTTACTATTTGTTTATTTTCTTCAGAGATGTAAAACATGGACTTCAAGCAGTAGTCAAACTGGTGCTATCCTTCTATGTGTTGTAGGTGCTAAAATGAGTGAAGGAATTAACTTCTCTGATGATTTAGGAAGGTGGATATTGTCAAATTATTATTTATGTAACAACTTTGTGATGCATTTTTCCACATATACATCAAAATATGATTGTATATTGTTGTCACCCCTGTGTCCATCTCAACCCAATCTTTATATTCATGAGATGAAGACACCAATTATGCCCATTAAAGTTTCATTCTTTCTGATTATTTATCAGTTGTTGCTTATGATATTTTTTTTTAGTGCCCCCCAGCAAAAGAATAAAAATTTTGACAAACTTAATGGACTGCTTGAACAGCTTAGCTACTGTGGACATGTTTTGTTGTCTGGCAAACTATCTTTTAAAAAGGAATCATTTGTCATTAAAATATATATTACATGTCATCTCATCTCATGTCATCTGCTTTCCTGTCAGTGAATATTTTGATTCTTTTGAGTTGTCTTAAATTAGTCTTCTGTGTATTTGATCATACTGTATTTCTCTTCTAGATGTGTTGTCATGGTTGGATTACCATATCCTAATCTAAAATCACCAGAATTAAAAGAAAAAATGGATTACCTCAATGCGAATTATGTAAGAATTTTTATGCACCCACATTTTCATGTGGACATATATTGTGGTTGTCCCTGTCCGTTCTGTCGTCCGTCCGTCCACAATTGTTTGTGGACACTCTACAGGTCACATTTTTTATCCGATTTCAACAAAACTTGAAATATAGAATTATCTCCCTAAGATCTCAGTTGCATGTATCAGACCGTAACTTCATGGATTATGGCCCCTGATTGTAAGAAAAATCGTGTTTTTAGCTTGTGAACCCTATAGAGGCCACAATTTTTATCCAATTTTGTTGAAACTTGAAATGTAAGTTTATATCCCAAAGATCTCGGTTCCTTTCAATATTCGCACATATCGGACCATAACTTCCTGAATGATGGCCCCTGATTGTACAAAAAATCACGGTTTTAGCTTGTGGAGCCTATGGAGGTCATAATTTTTATCTGATTTAAAAAAAATGTTTTAGTATATCACCGTACTGCCGGACAAAATGGCCGCCCCTCATACACAATTAGTGTAAACATCTGGTATATCAAACTTGTGGACCCTCTAGAAGTCAAAATTTTGATCCGATATTGATGAGAGTTGAAATACATGTTATAACCCAAAGATGTTGGTTCCTTTCTATATTCACGCGTATCGGATCGTAACTTCCTGAATTATGGCCCTTGAATGTACAAAAAATCACGATTTTAGCTTGCCATCCATGTATAGGTCACAATTTTTATCCGATTTAAAAAAACATGTGAATATATCACCGTTACACACTAAGATCTTGGTTCCTTTTGATAGTCACGTATATCCGAACGTAACTTCCTGGATTATGGGTCCTGATTGTTCCAAAAATCACATTTTTAGCTTGCAGATTTTCTAGAGGTCACAATTTTTTTTTCCGATTTTAAAAACCTTTTAAATATTTCACCATTCCACCATAATGAAGGTTGAACTCCAATTTCGGGAAAATCGAAATGAAACTGCCCACAAAATGTCCACTCTTTGTACGCAAATTGTGTAAAAGTATGCAATACGAAGGTTGTGGACCCTCTAGAGGTCACAATTTTTATCCGATTCTGATGAAGCTTAAAACATATCTTTATATCCCAAAGATCTTGGTCCCATTTGATATTTGCACATTTCAGACCATAACTTTCTGGATTATTGCCCCTGATTGTACAAAAAATCTTATTTGTTTTTAGCTTGTTCTCTTTCCATCTCTTGCATAATGTGGGCCTATCCTGTCTGGCAGCCGCTGGTTTTTGTTAAGATACATTATGAAAAATTTAGGTAAAGAGTTGGTTGTCTTGCTATAATAATTCAGAAATAGATAATGAATATATTGAAATTTTCAGTCAAATTACTTTATTCTGAGCGAAGTTATGATGGAAACTCAGCCCACTGTTCATGTTCTCGTTTGTTAAGAACCATTGCCATGATAATCAACAAAGTCTTGATTGTTACTCCTTTTATCAGCGGTCTCTGGGAATATTATCTTTTAACACTAACATTGTCTAATCAATAATATTTGAAGTCAGACACACACCCATCATTAGGCATTTTTAGTTCTTGTATGTTAAGCAAATACCTAGTAAAATCTATTGAGAATATAACAACATTCAGCGCTTTATAATATGTATATATGACTTCATCTTTGTTTCAGCCTAAAGACATTGAAGGGAGACAACCTGGTCAAGTTCATTATGAAAATCTATGTATGAAAGCTGTTAATCAGTCTATTGGTATTTTCCTTACTACTTTGTTTTGAAAGCCTACACAGAAAGTGGTTGTATCTTGCTGTTTCCCCCCATCTGTCCTCCACGATTTCGTTTGAACACTCTACAGACTTGTTATCCAAACTTTTTAAAATTTATGGTTACATTAGTGAGTTGATAAATTTCAATGATTTCTAGAGTTATGTCCCTTGTTTCACTATGTGGAATCTTCTGAATGCTCTGATGACAAAATTTCTCATTCGATCTGTATGAAATTTATGTGCATTATTCAAATTCGTGAAGCAATGAAGCCTACTGAATATCAAAAGTTTCTGTTACATGTATTTACTTTTTCAGTTATGACCCTTGTTTTACTTTGTAGAAGATTTTGTACACTTTGAAGACAAAACTTAATAGTTTATTATCCAACATATTAGAAATATCCATTATTCAAATTGATGAAAATATGAAGCCTATAGAATTTAAACCATTTCAGTTTTATACTTCTTAAGTTATTGCTCTGGTTTAGATTTGCGTAATTTTCTGCTAGGGCTAAGTCATTACTTTAATCTGATTGTTCGAGACTTTGGAACACAATTATGGCTTTTAGTTGCATTGCTTGAGTTGAATTACAGAATGTTTTTTCTTTCAGGAAGAGCTATACGTCACCGTGGAGATTATGCAACCATTTTGTTGGTAGACAGACGTTATAACAGAACTAATGTTGTATCCAAATTACCTAACTGGATAAGTGAACATCTACAAAAACCAGATAAATTTGGTGTGGCATTGAGTTGTATATCTAAGGTTAGCTGCTTATTATGGATTAAGAACTATTTTTACAAGGGGTTTGTCAGGCTGTTTTCAGCCAATAACATGAAAGTATTCTTTTGTCATTGTATAGGATGATATGACTTTTAACGTCCCATCCAGCATACTTTTAGGTGTGACGTCACAGCTATGTTACCGAGTACTAGTCATCAAATGCCTCTATTATTTGTACCTATTTGGGAAAGTTATACAGAACATTTTCATATTCTGCAAAAAATATTTAGTACATTTAAATATAGATGCATGAAAGCAGATTAAAAGTATTTAAAAATCTAATTTTCCTCATCAGATTCTCTTATGATATACTAAAATCAATTATTTAAAATATAATGAAGAAATATTAATGGTAGATACTAATAGGTGGTGCATGCTTGTGTTGAGATATTGACTGCAACAGTTGCTAAATGTTGACAAATTTTCAATTCATCCATCTCTTTCAAAATGTGGGTGTATCTTGCCGGGCAACTGCTGGTCTAGAATTTAATTGACAGCAAACAAAAAGTACCACAGCAACTTTTCTCTCCTTTATTCCTCTCAGAGATCTTAACAATTGAGTAAGATTGCTTTTATTTGCTTGAAATGAATATCATTAATATTGAATTTTATTCTATTTTTGTTCTAGTTTTTTTCAATGAAGAAAGACTTGCCAACTTGAAAGTACACTGAATGTATGAGGACATACCAACAATGAAAGTCGAGTGATGTGTCTGTACGGAATAAAAAATCATGTTAGAAAAACCTATTCTCGATTCTTGTATGCAGGCAGTTAGCTATTTTAATAGTCAAACAAAATCAATAATTTCTTTAATACCTCTTGACTGATTAAGGTCTAGTCTTTAAACGGGCAATATGAAAGAGTTTTCATACAACAATAAATCAGATGATTGATATATAAATGTGCTGTTGTTATGTTTTTTTATTATTATTATTGTACGTGCCTGATTCATGACATATATTCCAAATCGTGCATTTTGACAGGAACTTGGGAAAGGTTTCCTTGCCACCAACCAATCATCAAATAAATACCAATTTTGTTTAATCGAATGTCATTATGATTGACAAGTGAAAATTGTCCCCGAGTACAGCAATGTCAATAAGCCTGGTGCAGAATCTCTATGGATCAATAGTTCACAAAATAAAATTTGTATCTTTGACTCGATTGTAACTTTATCCTGTCTTAGTCTACTATGTTCATGAAGATATTCAACTTTCTTCCTCTTATTCTTTCTGCTCTTCAAAAATAACTTTTTGTGTTTAACTGTTACACTTGATCTGATTTGTTATATAAAAGCTCACCAATTCAAAACCTGTAATATTAACTTGCATTGGCAAAACCATTTAGGTGTAACAAAATTTTATCTTAATATTTTGTATATTCCATTCATTGAACTTGTTAATTTATTAAATTAAATTGTGTTACCAACTACCCTGTACTATAATATTATAGTATCAGTTGTCAGGTTTGTTATTTTGTCCATATATTGAATGAACACATCGATTGCTGGCAAAGAATGTAAATAAATTAAGTTCTAAAACCAAGGAGGTGTTTGGAGTTGATGTATAAAGATGATATGAATGATAATGTACCTAGAAAGGGATCTAAGGATGGGTATTTGGTTATTAACTCCAGCCCTCGAAATTACATTCTATAAAGCCTGATAAATATCCAAAGGATTTTGTGGGTTTGCATCTACAATTCTTACCAAAGCAAGAATTAATGCATAAGTTACCAATACAAGAAATTAATGCATGAAATGCAACGGCCCTTAGTGAATAGGCGGATTTTATTCAGTGTATAAAAACAAACACTAATCTTCGAGACTATTTATTATTATTATTACAGCATATTTATAATGTACCCTTTCATATAACATGTTCAGGGTCACTTTACAAAATGACAAATGTAATCATAAATAAACAAGAAGATTATGGACATGTTAACGATTGTATACACAGTCAGTTGAAAGCCTGATTAAATAAATGTATTTTAAGTAGTTTTTTAAAAGAATATAGAGATGTACAACTTCTTAAACTAAATGGTAATAATTGAAAAGTTTTGGGCTTTAAAAGTAGTTTATCTAATGTTCGGCCAGGCGTATTCTGTTCTAATTTAAAAGATCTGAGAGGTAAACAGGGGCTAAATTATTTTATAAGTGATAAAATCTTAAAATCAATTCTATGTTCAACAGGTAACCAGTGTAAATTATATAAAACAGGAGATATATAGTCGCATTTCTTAGTTAAAGTAACAAGTCTAGCTGCAGTATTCCGTACATTTTATACACCATATTTTCACGTGGACGTATATTGTCGTCGCCCTTGTCCGTCCGTCCACAATTTGTGGACACTCTACAGGTCACAATTTTTATTCGATTTTGACCAAACTTGAAATATAGGTCTATCTCCCAAAGATCTTGGTTCCTTTCGATATTGGCATATATGGCCCCTGATTGTACCAAAAATCGCTTGATTAGCTTGTGGACACTCTAGAGGTCACAATTTTCATCTTGATTTTGATGAAACTTGAAAGGCACAAAGATCTTGGTTCCTGTCGATATTCGCGTAACTTACTGAATTATGGCCCTTGATGGTACGAAAATCGCTTTTTATTCAGCTTGTTCTTTGTCCATCTTTTGCAAAATCCATTGGCCTCTACAGTTACAAATAAAACAATCAAAGCTTGCGCCAATATTACGGGCACAATAAGATGAAAATATATCACAATTACCTATTACAACGGGGGGTGGGGGGATGTGCAAATTTACAATTAACTAAGATACGCTGTTTTCTACCCACAAGGTAGGTTTCTAAAAAATTTAAAGCAGAGCCACAAATACCGAATTTAAAATGAAGTCTACGTAAAAGAATAGAAGGATCTGCCGTGTCCAAAGCAACAGATAAATCTAATAAAATCAAAAATGTACTGTGGAATTTTTTGTAAGCACTTTGAAATGGTTCATACAAACAGTTATCATCTAGATTAGGATCCAGTGTATACTTTTTAATTGAAGGGGTAACATAAGCTTGTTTGAAAACGTTGGGAATAGTAGAAGATGATATACAAGAGTTGCTATTATATTGGTAAAAATTGGAATAACTTCGTCTAGACAGGAGTCGGAACAGGATCTAATGAACTTAGAAGCAGACGATTTCATTAGCTTTAAAACAAAAGATTCACTAACCGAGTTAAAGTTTTCTAACTTATCAAAATCATGAGCGTTCAAGTCACTAGTTTTATTTAAATCATCATGTTCAGTTAGTATTTTTATTTGGAAGACATCTGAGAATAAATTCGCGAGTTTGGTGTAATTATCATTGTCTGGGGGAATAGTCCGCTCAGCATTATGATCCAAAAGGGAATTCACAACTTTATACAGGCCTTTTTGTCAGTTTTCACCATTTTCTATTTTATCAAAGTAAAATTTAATTTTTTGCGTCTTCAATTAAAGATACATTATGGGAGATTAGACAAAGCTGGCAGTTCTCACTATAATAGTTACAAACTAGATAATGTTAAGGGAATTTGCTGAAAATTTCAGTCAAATTAATCCACTCTGAACCGAGATTTTAGCGATTAAATTTTCGGCCTGCCTTGATGGTCATTACTCAAGTCGGTACGATAAAAAAAAGAACATAGTCTCGAATATCCACTTCATGATTAAATTATGAATGAAAGTTTAGCAGCAAATCTGTTCAAAATCCAATAAATATCGCAGGCTGGCGTCGACATCGAGAGTTGATTATGGTCTGGATAAGTTAATTAATGTCTAATAATTTAGATAACATTTCACGCCTAAAAGAAGACCTGCAATAGGCAGATTTAGGTCTTGCATAATGTAATGTATTTTTAATTTAATGTCCAAAATGTCAACAAGCTTGGGTTGCTTTCTCGTATTTCCGCTTTAAATTTATTATTGTCAGGTGATTTAAACCTTCGATATTTTACAGTCTTTCTATTCAGTTGTGGTTTCTGGATCTTAAGATTAGAACTTGCCGTGAAATTATCAAATATTAATTTGTCTGAGACACAGAGGATATCCTGTTTAATGTCGCATGCATTTTGCATACCGATAGTTCATTGGCCAATCACGCTATTTTACCGACATTTTGCCTAATAGTTTGGATGCAGCTATGGCGGGTGTGGGGCCGGGCAGGGTAAGCTTACTCTTCCGGACACCTGTTACAACTGTTTGTCGTGTATTTTGTACGCGAGGAGCAGTCCATTTGCTGATTACACTATTTTGCTTGAATACACTATTTTGCCTAGAACGTTTTTTAGGACTTCGAATTCTGTCTTATGGTTTGGATTGTTCGTACTTGGTTTTATTTTATTATCACCAGATCGAGAATATGTCCACCGTTATGAGTCGAAAAAGAAACATTTAGTGTGAGAGATCTGTTATTCAACATTTTACAAAAAATCAACCGTGTTATAGTCAGTGGTATCATCAATATGAAAATTAAAATCCACCAAAATAATAATGCAACACTTAGTCATAATCAACTGGTCCAGAAATAATCCAAATTCTTCCAAACATTTTTAACACAAACATTCTTTCCCTGAAAGAAAACTGTAGAGAGCAATCCAAAATTTCAAAAGAATCAGAACATTCATGGCGGATTTTCTTACATTTAATAGATGACTTAAATACAAGTGCTAAACCTCCTCCACGTGAACCTCTAACGTAATGTATAGAATATCCATCGGGTACTAAAGCTGCGATTGTCGATGAATCCGAACAGTCTATCAATTGAATTTTCAACAATATAATCATATAAAAGAATCTGTGACAGTTCGAATTCAACGAAGTATGCTGTTCAAGTGAAATTCTTCTCAAAGCCTACTGCACGTAGGAGCATAGGCCATATCGATTTTGCGGGGGGGGGGGGTGTTAGTAAAAATGAGACCAACTTAGTGCAGGTGCAAGCTTCCTAGGGGAATCCAGGGGCATGCTTCCCCCGGAGAAATTTTTGAGTCTTAGAGTTCCTGGGGGAAGACTTTGCAGAATTCTGACGGTCAGAAAACACTTATAAGTAAAATTGACTACTACGCATGGGAATTATGTTATTTATTAAGAATTTTGCAAGAACGTACAAAATACTGTGAATCTGTGACAATTTCTTAAAGTTGTGGTGAATATACATAAATTAGCCTAGATATGACTGTTCTCATTTTATCTTCCCTTCTATTTTGGCATTGTTTGTTGTAAAGATGACTTCTTTATACCCGCCTGATCTTTTCGAAAGTGCAGCCCCAACACCGCTATATATATATATAATTCCAGATCAACCAAATGCATAAATCATTTCAATTACGGTAATAACACAACTTATTCTAAATTGATATACTCGATGTGACAGAGAACCAGTGTGGTAATACTGCTGTTTGTTGTCATGTAATTCGAAAAAAGTAAGATATTTCAGGCCCGTAGCTAGCCCAAAAATGTTGCGGGGGGGGGGGGGCTTCTGGGAGATTGTTGAGGTACCTACACTAGACGCCCCGTCCCCTCGGAAAATAGGGTTTGCACCTGAGGAGAGAGAGAGGAACTATGTGAATGACGGAAAATTTCAATTTTGAGGCTGAATTTGCGATATTGGCGTATTATAATATTTTGATATGAATATTATAAAAATCCGAAGGCAGGAATTCGACTTTAACGTATACCTATAATAAATTATGAGAAAAACGAAAAGTTCTGAATAGGGTTAGAGTGCGACTTGCTCGAATTTCCGGGATAAGGCGTTTTGGGCGCTCCATCAATCAAGTTGTGGTGTTAAAGGAGCTAAGTCTCTAACTCAATATGATCCAAAATCTTCAACATTGAAAACACAAATTATTTGTCAATTTAAATCTACATTGATGCTGTGATCTTACCGGGAAAAGATGGGCTTCTGATATCCAATATTTAAGACAAAATAAATATTTTACCATTGGTACACGAATCGTGTACCATAATGCGTTTCAGCCCCAGTTCTAGCAAGAGGAACGAGGCTAGACATATTGCACCAAACCAAACGGCGTATGTAGACTGGAATAACCAGGCGCTAGAAATTTGCATTCGATTGAGACTGGTGGCTTATTTCGCGGAACATAACTGATTTGAAATTAGAGTAAAAACGGAAACCATTGAATGTATATCCGTTTATATACATTCATATTACAGTATTATATGAGTTGCGACCCACTTGTGTCAATTTCTAGGTCCCAAATGTTAGCGATTTAGCTCCTTTAATCGTGTGATTCATTATATTCTCTAGAAAATCTATTTAACCCACCCAAAACAATTGCAAAATCAGTTAGTGTGTTTGTATTTCATGCAATGAATCTAAGAACATAAATTGTGTAGAGCTACATGTGTCACTACCTTTTTATACGCCCACATTTTCATGTGGCCGTATATTGTCGTCGCCCCTGTCAGTCCGTCCGTCCGATTTCAACGAAACTTGAAATATAGGTTTATCTCCCCAAAATCTCGGTTCCTTTCGATATTGGCATGTATCAGACTGTAACTTCATGAATTATGGCCCCTGATTGTACG